CCTAAACCCCAAGCGGTTTAGGGTTTAGGGTCTAGGGTTTAGGGTTTAGGGTTTGGGATTTAGCAACACCGCAATCCAAAACACTTCCAATAACCATGGTGACCCTAATGAAGCCCTCTTAGACCCCACTTAAACCCTGAACCCTAAATCCTAAATCTAGCCTAAGGCCCTTTCAACAAAACCTCGAAACCTGTTGAAGGATTCGTTTCTAAGCCACCGAGCCTCTAGCGTGGTCAGGACTATGTTGTGGTGGATGGAGGCCGCTAGCTTGGCCATTACTCGCTGCAGGACCGTCTTTAGAGATTGAGGTGTAGGGCTTCGACGGTTTTGCGGCTTGCAGGCTTTGGTTTTCGTGTTGTGGATTAGGATGTTTTTTGCCAGACTGCGTTGAGGGTCTTTGGTGTGTAAGGGTGAAGATTTTGAGGGGGGTTTAAGTTCAGGGTTGACTCTGTAGCTTGAAGGCTTTGGAGCTTCGCGGCCCATCGACGATATCAGTGAGGTTCTGATTTTGGGGTTTAGGGTTGAGTTACGATTGTTCTTGGTTTTGGAGCTTGGGTCTAGGCTGCTGTTATTGCTGCTGCTGCTGCTGCTCGCGCAACTGCTACGAAGTAGAACGATGCAGAAGATGGAGCTGAGCAGAAGGAGTACTAGTTGTTGTTGTAATAGTCGTCGCTGCCTGCTTCTAATCGTTCTTCCAGTTTTACTTCCACGACCACGACTTCTACTGATTATTCCTTTGCATTTACATCTTAGGATGAGAATGTCCGCTTCAGCAAGCACCTCAACCCAGAGGCCCCGTGCCCCTTAGGTAGGGAATGAGGTAAGGGTCGGAATAATTTGAATCCGTAGGGTGTAGGATTGATGGTTTAGGGTTTAGGGTTTAGGACCCCCTCCTACTGTAGTCCCCAGCTAATTATGGAGGAGCCATCAATGACTTTTTAGCTGAATAGTCGTGCTGAGACCCTGCAAGGCATGGGGTGTTGAGACCCCATGAAGGGTAGGCCCTGGTGGTGAAAGGTGGGTAGTTCTCTAGATTAGGGTCCCCTTTTAGGTCCCCAATATAGTACGGAACCCTTATAAAGAAGACCCTAAACCCCTAGAGCCTAAACCCTAAACCCTAAACCCTAAACCCTAAACCCTAGACCCATATATTAAGACCCCTACATTAGCTGGCCATGAGCCCCCTCAGCCCTCAGCTTCCCTGGAGTGAACCTTAGCAACC